GCTGGGAGTCCAGAGACCACACTCGGGTAAGTTTAGGACAGCAGCTGGGGGCAGGGTGGAGGCAGTCAAAGGCTAGGCCAGAGAGAACGTGGGTAGGAGTGCAGGTTCCAGTTTCTCTAGGTGACATCCCCGTGGGGCATCACGGGCTGAAGACATGAGCACTGAGAACATGAAGCTACTCATCACCTGCTCCGTGTCCTCCAAGGAACAGCAGATGGCCACCCAAGCACATCACTTCAGCTTAAGCACGGGGCCCATCATGCCGCAGAGATTCGTGTGGCCTAGTGTGTCCGGTAGTCCAAAGCTGGGCTGCACTCCCTCGACAGAAGCTTACACCTCGGCACTTTGTTGGACCTCCGTGGGTCAGACATATTGTTGGTGGACATAGCCAACCGAAGACCACGCTGTTCCTCTTTCACTACTCATGCTTCTTTATTTTTACCACATAGTGGAGGGGCAAAAATTCCACAGTAAAGGCTATTTGTAGGAATTCAGCTATAAGGTTACAGTTCTCTAGAACAGAAATAGCATGTGGATTGGAATTTTATCTCATCTGATTAAATTACTGCAGCTGATTAAATCCCTGAGCACTCACGGCAGACCAGACACGGGAGGCACTCCAAGCACACCGTCATTTTAGCTCTTAGGCCAATCAGAAGAAGCCAGGAACACCATTAACTGGGGCCCATGGGCACCACTAGGAACCTTCACAGAGCTGGCCCCACTTTGGTAAGACTGCAGGAAAGGGAGGAAGGGCTAAGTGGGAGGATTCAGGTCTGTTGAGCCAGAACCAGGCTCCTTAGTCATTATTCTTTAAATTAACAAACTATTTTTGAATATTGTATTTATCATCATTTTTTTATGTGTATAGATGTTTTGCCTGCATGCATATCTGTGTACCATGCCCATGCAGTGCCCAGAGAGGCCAAAAGATGGTGTTAGATCCCCTAGAACTGGAGTTAACAGAAGGTTATGAGCTACTGTGGGTGCTGGGAATAGAACCTGGGTCCTCTGGAAGAGCAGCCAGTGCTCTTAACTACTGAGGCATCCTGTTAGCCCCTTTATTCACTATTCTTAATTATATGTAAAATGTTAGGTTTTTTTTTTTTTGGTCACAAACAAAGTGGCTTCACCTGCCTACACAGATCATTTGTTCATTGTGAGAATTAAAATAATGCATTTTATAATGGAAAGGTAAAGAAAATATTGACCATGAAATATTTGGGGCTTCGTGACTATCTCAGGCTATATTACTCTGCACTGTTACTATTACTTTTGTTCCTGGTCCAATTTAGGTTGTATTAGGTTAAATGTGTTTATAAGTCAGGACTTTAATGTTCTGAAACCCAAATTTCCTTAAAATTACTTCCTTTGGGGGGGGTAACAAATAAGAAAATGCAGCAAGAGATATCCACTGTGGCTTTTCTGTTATTTCAGAAGAGCAGCTGAGAGTGAAAGGCATTCTCAAAGTAGAGAAATGAGCCATGGGGTTGGAAACCACTGCCAGATTCATGGTGCGTTGCAGTGCTAGACCACTGTATCTTGGATACACTTTTACTATTGCCTGAGTTTGATGGGGCAAAATGTACCCCCAACCAGGTGCTTTTATTATAGGTAGGCAGGAGGGGACAACAGAAGTCTAGGACATGTGTCTGTCCCTGAAAGCTCTCCTGGGAGGATGCTATCTCATTTTCAAATGGCTCTCTTCCACTACAAAAAGAGGCACTCCAGAAAGTGACCTGTGCTGTGTTTTATAATCTGGACAATTTGCTAAGCTATAGCGTTGAAGAGCATCCTGTCCAGATGGTATTAGAACAAAGACCCCAGCTGTTGAGGGCAGAAGCTCAGTGTTACAGTGTTACACTCTAAATGTTACAGTGTTATAGTCTAAGCACATCTACAGGTGTTCCTGAGAACCACAGGAAAGAGGGAGAAGTACGCCAGTCCAAAGTCACACAGAGAACTGCCCTCTGCAAGACACCTCCATTTCGCTGGGCGTTGGTGGCGCATGCCTTTAATCCCAGCACTCAGGAGGCAGAGGCACGCAGATCTCTGTGAGTTCGAGGCCAGCCTGGTCTCCAGAGCCAGTGCCAGGATAGGCTCCAAAGCTACACAGAGAAACCCTGTCCCGAAAAACAAACAAACAAACAAAACCCAACAACAACAACAAAAGACACCTCCATTTCTAGTCTACTGAGAGGCAAAAGGCAGAAAAGTGGTGTCCATGGTTCTATCCCTTAGGAGGCTGAACATCCTTAATACAGAGGAATTGTTTACCTGCTTTTGCTATTCTAGGAGGAAAACAGTTACCAAGAGCTGAAGGAGCTGCACATCAGAGAGTGGTGCCAGGTGGAGATGTGGCCAGAAATCTCTCACAGCCCTAAAGCTGCTGCAGATCTGAGAATTGACCAACAGGACATGAGATCGATGCCTGCAGTCTTGCCAGCGTAGCAAGCACGGGAGCAAAGATCAGAGTGCACCAGAGAAACATGGTAGGTTGTTGGCTGAGAGGGTCAGGCTCGGTGCCTCTGGAACAGTCAGACAGCTCGCAATGGATGTCCAGCAGCTTCCTTAGATGTCCGTCTGGGCTGCTGAACATGAAGTGGCAGCCAGTGGAGACACTGCATCTTGCTGTTTACTGTTTCCCTTCTCCCACCACTTTGTCCACTACCAGAAGAGCTGTGCCTAGCAGACTGAGAAGCCGGCACTTCTCAGGGTGAGCTGCCACAGGCAGGAACACTTGCAAGATGGACATGAGATTCAAGTTTTAAACTAAAAAAAAGCAAAGCAAGTCTTTCAAACAGAAATGAAACCGGGCGTTGGTGGCTCACAACTTTAATCCCAGCACTTGGGAAGCAGAGACAGGATTTCTGTCAGTTCCAGACCAGCCTGGTCTACAGAGTGAGTTCCAAGACAGCCTCCAAAGCAATACAGAGAAACCCTGTCTCGGGGGGAGGGGGGGGAGGGGGGAGGAAAGAAAAGGAAAAAAAGAAAAGAAAAAGATGCCAATGGTTAAAAAAAAATTAAGGCATGTAGACATCTCCCAGTTGGAAAAGGGGACTGTACAGAACAAAAACTAGCTGTATTACAGATTCAAATATATATTTACATATTAGTAAGAAAATGTCATACACAAATATGTTACAGTTAGACATGGTGGTAAGTGAGCATTGAGAAATGGGTTGGGATTTGGGTAACACCAAGCTGGGAAAGGAATTCAGAAGGAAGAGCCTAAGCAAAAGCAGCAGTAATTACCCAGAACTGCTGCAGGGAAGCTCAGACTGGCCTTAGTTTAGTGAAGATTGGCTAGAGCTCCAGGCTGTAAAATAACAGGGTTGGAGGTCACTTTATATGCGATGGCAGAGACGACTAGGCCGATGACTATGGCACCATGCCCTTTTCCCCATCCACTGGAACCTAACTCATAATTGGAGGTCAGAATTACTTGACTGAATGGAGCGACTAGGTCATCAGGTGGACTGCCTTTTGCATATGAGTAGTGAGCAGCCATGAGGGTTTTGTGACTGTTCTGGCATCGATGAAGAGTCTAGAGCACTTGTGCCCTTCATCTCGCTGTTGGATTATTGAAACAAAATGGACTCCAAGAAATTGGAATTTCCTCAAGGGTCTCATGTTGAGAGAAGGAAAAGCCTGGAACTTGGCCAGGAGAGGACTTGTCTTTGGGGAAAGACTTCACACAACTTGCCACACTCTTCGTGTGGAAGAGACTAGGGCAGAGACAATGATGGGTGGGTGGGTGGTACCCCACCTTGACCAGGACTTCATAGCTATACATACCTCTTGTTTTGTATATGCACTTAAAATCTCTCTCTCTCTCTCTCTCTCTCTCTCTCTCTCTCTCTCTCTCTCTCTCTCTCTCACACACACACACACACACACACACACACACATCTTCTCAGTGTGGCCATATTGACTCACTTTCCCTTTTCTGCTCTCACTGTCACTTGTTTCATTGGTCTATTGAGGATGAGCGGCAGAGCTTGACTTGTGAGGGATGCCATGGCCGTTGTTTCCACATCTTATGCTGAAGGGCCTTATTCCCACTCTGGGAAGGTTTATTCTGGTTGGAGGATTGGACAAAGGACTGTGAATGAGACCTCTCCAAGAACACTCTAGACATTGGGAACACCTATTTGGGGATTGATTTCCAAAATCTGCACTTGCTGATGGGGTGGATTCTCTCTAATTTCCAACTCACTTAGATTTCACTCTGGTTTTGCTTTTTGAGACAGGTTTCCCTCTGTGTATAGCCTGGCTGTCCTGGAACTCACTCCGTAGACCAGGCTGGCCTCGAACTCAGTGATCGGCTTGCCTTTGCTTCCCGAGTGCTGGCATTAAAGGCCCGGCGTCTACTTAGCTCGAATCGTTTCTGTCTCGGCCGAGAGAGGAGATGGACAACATGGCATGCCCAAATCCTCCTCCTCCTCGGCAACAGTCCAATCCTCTCACTGCTCGGTGGACCCCCCCCCACACACACCGGAGAAAGGCCCCAGGCGTT